ATATAGCGGCTGGTAGCAGTCGCTGCGTGTCTGCCATCGGTGAAGAGAAAAAAAAAGATAGCATTATTATACCTTCTCTTTCTAAGAAAATGAGGAGCACCGGAATCATGTTTGCGTCGATTTATCTCTCAGCTTCAACTTAACACGTTGTGAATAGTCTCACAATATCAAAGGAGCTTGTAAAATCAATATCATGCATGATATTTTGTTCCAATATCATGCTTGATATTGAGACAGTATGAGAGCAGAAAAATATCATTTGATTGATGGTTTTGCCAACACTGCTTCCAACCATCTTAACAATGAATTTCAATGGTTTTTCGATCAACTATGAATGATGGACATCTCACAACGCTCAACCTGATTTTCGTCTATGTACCATCTAGATATGCGATTATAAAATTTAATAAAAATGTTCACGGTTTGTTTCACTGATAGATCGTATTTTTCACGAGTGCTTCTTGTACAACGATCATATACAAAAGTGATGTCTATTTGACATACTTTCGATAAATCAGAATGAATGACAAACGAAGGGAAGAGATATATTTTATAAGATGTAAAAGTTCTGGATTCTGCTACAGATATTCCAAGATAGATTTAATGGGGTAAAAGAATGATAAAAAAATTTCACGGGATTCACGCGATTCCGGGATTAAAAAATTTATTTCCTGGGATTCGGTATTCCCGGAAAATGTCACAATCCCGGGATTTTCATCCCGATACATCCCGGGATGGAAGCTCTAATCAGGGCCCAATTTGGAACCGTTTTAGCACTGTGGAGCGAAAATTTCAAATATTGCATCAGTCTAGTGTGGCACCACTATACATCCCAAGCTTCCAACATTTTGCTGACTACCCATCGCTTTATGTCCTGTAACGGCACTTCGTTGGTGTGACGAGGGCCAGCTGGTCCAGACCCTACCAGGGGTGAGCCGGGGTCTCAGATGTAAGGGCTGGTATCACGCTGTACGAATAGGATAGTACCAGTATAGGCCGGTCCAAGGGTGTTGTAACGGCAACAATGATGGCCGCGGCTTCGGTGGAGAAAACCGAGCATTGCGGCGGTAGGCTGCTACTCATCGGTACTGAAAATCCGGCTACTCCAATTACGACCCCGGCTCGGGAAAGCGATCCGTCCGTGTATATGTGGGCATGGGTTGGGTAGTCCGAACCAGCACTGCAGAGTTATCTCCAGCCTTGAACCTGCTCTTTATCCGACTCTCGAGGTGGAGGTATGCGCCAACTTTTGTCTCCGTACCTGTGGACCTTGGCCACTGGGTGAGATCCGAATTGGCAGCCGTGCGGAGGAGTCTATTCCCCTCGTCGAGGAGAAAGATCCTGTTATTTTCGGAGGTCATTGCTGTAAAAGCAGCGGCTTTCGTTGCCATAACCATACGATGGCGGAAGAGCAGAATACCCGCTTCGATGCATACGGCATTGGCGGGTGTTGACGGAAGAAGACCGGAGGCAATGTAGGCACTTACAACCCGGAAACGAGTGTCGCGATTGTTAGACCGGAAGGCGCGGGGGATGGTGCGGATCAAGTTGATCCTGCTGCGGCAGTCGTTCTTGGTGCGATACAAATTAGTAGTGATGACGTTTTTTTTTTAATGTTGGTGGCAGTCTCAGATACTTGGAGTCTCGGTATCAAATAGTTGGAACATTTGAAAAAAAATGGGATAGCAAAAATCAGTACCGTAAAACGGGGTATCTGTGATAATGCAGGTAACCAAGGTTGCAAAGACTCATTTCAGCTAAAACAATGTTTTTTCTAAATTATGCAATAATTAGATGCCATGATCAAATTTTGAATTGGTAGGATACAAGAAGAGGTTGCAAAGAATGTGTTTGACATATTAAACCTGTTTATTTCACTTCATGAGAGTCACAATCAGCGATTTTTCACACACTCACTCACTCACTCAGCGATCAGCAAATCGCTGATGGTGACTCATAGTGTGTGTGTGTGTGTGTGTGTGTGAGTACAATCCATCGCCCTCTGTACCGGCAGAGTTTTTATGGAAGAAACTTATCTGCATTTTCTGTATGTCGAATGTGCAAATATTTTTAGCCCTGGAGATGGAAGGTGACAGCTCTATCGTACATCAAACGACCCGAATGCCTGTTTCTGCACGTACATTCTGAGGTCATTTTCTGATACAATAAGCCCCGCAAAAATACACAAGTGTATTCTCACTTCCAGAATAAAAAAAAACTTTTTATTCTGGCACGTATTTAGTTATAAAATGATTGGGATATATGTGTAGAATAAAATAAAAAGCAAGTGTACTTATCTGGTTGTTTCAATGTGATGAGTGAGTCTCCCTGGGGCAGGTTCAGTACCTTGATATTGAAATTGAAAACGACGACAGCGACGGAGCCGACACGCAGACGGATTCCGTCGTACAGCAGGGAGTTAGTTTGCCTTTTTGTCCACCAATTTGCTTGACTGCTGGATACAACTTTTCCATCAGCTTCACGAGGAATTCAAACCGCGATAAATCGTTGATCAACTGAAAACTTTTCTCAAACCAATCCATTTCCGGTACCGCCATCGAACGATTGGAACTTGAAAAAGACTTGCTAGTTGTTCGGTTTTCTGCCACTCTCCGGATGGCATCCATGTTTCCGTTGGTCGGCTGCTTCCCGGTGTGAGAGGGTTCTCATTGCAAATTGTCCAAAATGCATTATTTTCCACAGCTCAGATTGTCGGGATGGAAGAGGTCTCGTAAAAGTCCCGGCTTTATGCGGAATGTACCGTCCACTAGTAGAACGTTCCACAGAAACTAACATTTCAGGTTAAAATCGTCTTCTAGAAAACTAAACTGAAGATTGTTCTTCATTAAAAGCACTTTAAAACGGGGAAGCACGAGAAAAAATCTTGACAGCTAAAATAAACACGACCGTCAATCGCTGATGGTGACTCATAGAAAGCAAAATTTACAGGTTTTATGTTTCCAACGCATACTTTGTAACCTCTTCTTGTAAGTTACAAGCTGAGTGGTGCGAAGTGAAATTTTCTTCATGTTGGTAGTGTTGAAATAAACGTTTCATCACCGTCGGTTGGTAGAGAGAAGTGTCAAACGGCTTTTTGTACAGAGCCGATTCGTGACTTTGTGATTGTTTGTTGACATTGTTCATAGCTGGAGTTTTTACGGAGTGGAATAAAATTCAGAATGAAGTGTTTTGCTCACTTTTGCAATTATAAAGATGGACACGACGAAAAGCGAAGCCTATTCAGGTTTCCCAAGGATTCAGCAGTACGAAAAGAGTGGCTCAGTTTCTGTGAGGGGGGGGGGGGGGTAAGTCAAGAAAGAATAAAACCCTGACACATCCTCTACCTGACTTGCAATCAAACATAGTAATTTTTATTTGTATAAATTGTTGCAAATCAGATGCAAATTTAATGTGGCCGACGATATCTATGGAAGTGCTGTCGAAATTCCCTGGGACCTCCAATGGCAACGATTTGACTTCCCTCCAAATCGTGTGAAACTCGAACATGAAAACTCTATAGAACCCCCGTAGAACCTCGCTGGCAGCAACTTAAATATCCACTGAAACCTCTTCTGTCGCGGGAAAAATCTGTTGAAATTTCCTGGAACTTTTGTACTATCATCACAAATCTCCTTAGAACGTTCTCCGAAGTCACAGTCGTTCCTGAGCGAAAAAAAATCGGAGGGGTTTTTTTTCAGCGCAGGAGTCTACTTTGGTCCAAAATACGCAATAATACTGTTATTTTTAATTGTTTGAGTCGTTTCGAATCACGTTTTAAAAAAGATCAAAAACATTACTGAAAAATATTTATTTTTTATTTTGGACGATAACAATACTTCTATCTATTTCAACGAACCACAATGATAAAAAAGTGGTTCGATTTGACAGCTCGAAAGTGGTTCGATTTTGAGGTCCGTCTTCGCACCACTCAGGTTACAAGTAAAACATGCCATCATACCATCTTTTGGTTTTATTATTCCGAAAAACATTATTTTAGCTGAAATGAGTCTTTGCAACCTTGCGGATAACTTTGACAGTAAGATAGAATGCTTTTATTTACGCTCTGCTTTTTTTCAAATTAGAAACATTGGTTCCATATTGTAGCTTAGGGCATTTCTCTTGATATTACATATGGGCATTCCAGCTCAAGTGGGTCACCACCTGTGGTCGATGTCACGGATTTGAACCAAACTTGGCCAAAACGCTTATTTTGGCATTCTGAACAAACGCCTTTTTTGATTTTGCTTTAAAGTGTCTAGATCCTTCTGGGCTACAACCCTGGATCTTCGAATTTAAAAAAATAACTTTCAGAAGAGATTACTCCACAACCAAATAATCTATTCGTGATCTTAGAACGTCAATTTGAAGGTTTTTCAATGTCAATTCTTATAGATGCATCCACATTTTGTTTTTGTTATAGTAACTACAGTAAACAGACTGATTACCGGCAGGTATTAAAATAGTCAAAACATAACCTATTTTCACCATGGGCGGGATTTTTTTATTTCTTACTATTTTTGGCTCAAATGTTCACCACACTTTGAAAAACTCTTGTACTTGATGTGTTTCCAAGGGCAAATGATTTTAACTAATAGTTTTTGAGATATTACCAGATGAGTGAGAGGTAGTTTTGAGCTTTTCTGGTGAAAAATCAATGTTATTTAATATATTTTTATTTTTTCTTGAATTCCTTCACGCCACGCCGATGGCACAATAATATTTTATGTTATTTTTCACATGTTCTGGGCAGGATTCTCAATATTTGAAGTCATAACTACCTCATTTATTTACTTTTGTCCATAATTTAATTGTGGTCCTAAAAGTGAAAAATACAGTCAAAACGTGCTTTAGAAGATTTTGATAGCTGATGGCGTTCGGTGACATATCGGGGTAACGGAATTCGGAGAAATGTAGCACAACCCATACGCCAATAATAGTATGTACCTATGCTATCTCCAAAATAATGGCGACATTTCTTTTGTGAAATCATTCCCGTCATATCTCGTCTATATATAGTGTTTTTATTCATCTTAATTAAACGTAACTGTTACACTTGTAGCTGTTCTTTTTTCTTCTTCTTAAACTGATCTGAATGAATGTTTTCGGATGTCTCCTCCGGATATCTTTCTTGTCTGTCCCTTCCTCTGTTTTTTTTTTCAGCCGTTACGGTTAATCCATATTAAACTTGTTTGCTTTTTTTAATTCTCAATCTGGTAGCGTCTTTTATTGGTTTCAGTTGTTTTCTTGTATCATTTAGCTGTTTATGTTTTAACTCCGCAGTTGCGTTATTGCAGTCTAAATATTCCTCGTTTTCCCTTTTTATTCATAAAGTAAAACGTGTCACTCTGCATTCCCACAAACTGAAAGTGATATCCTCTTCCTTACTAGCTCTGCTCTCGTCCTCTCTGTTGTGCCGGTTGCACTTGTGTGTGGTGTGTGTTTGAATGTTAGTGTGAATTTTTGCGGACCGAAAAAGCCATCCAGACGCATCCAAATACGGTTTCGCTCACAAAACAATTTGGAACAAAATGGAAATAAAAACCATTTTTCTTCTATAAGATCCTTATCCATATGCGAATGTTTAATTTCCTCTTAATAACTGTATCTTAGCCATTAGCTCGAGTACTAAAAAGGAGCGTTAATAAATAAAAAAACTAGCATAGTTACTTCATTTTCAATATAATCCTCAATGAATAAAGGTGAAACAAAAAAAAAAAAAGAAAAACGAATCCTTTGCACAGTTGAAATAAATTTCTCGCTAAACAATAATATTGATTAAGGCAGCCCCTACGATTTCCTGAAAGGTAATAGTAGTAGGTAGTAGTAGTAGTAGCAGCAGAAGCAGTAGCGACCGAGGAGACAGAAGACGGAAAAACGGAAAAAGTTCTGGGGAATTCTGGAAATCCTCGCGAACAATTTTTGCATGCACAACACAGACAACACAAGACTCCTAACCAGGACCAATATGTAGGGGTATAGTGTAATAATGCCTCTTCTTTCACTCGTTTAGGTTGCGGTTGTTGTTGTTGCTGTTGTTCCGTAGCACACTCAATAATAAGCACATGGTTTTGTTTGTTTTTCAGTTTTCTTTATCGCCCACTTTATTTCAGCTCACTTGTATTCCATAATTCTTGCACAGCTTAGCTTATGTTTTATCCTCACATGCTAAATTATTTAATACGCTTCAGCTTCTGTTTTTTTTTTTTCAGTGTGTTTTACTTGTTTTTTATCTTTATATTACTTTATATTATTTTCTTCAATTTTTCAATATAATCATCCACACACACGTCACCTGGCTGGCTTCTGCTTATTACTGTTTTTTGTTTGTTTGTTTCTTACTTTGTTTTAAAGAGGGAGTTGGTTTTCTGTGTTTCCTTATTTTTTGCTACTTTATTTGTTGGTTTTCTTTTTCCTATCTCAATTATCAACGGCGTTCTTCCTTTTCCTCTTCTCTACTCTCTTATGCTCTCCTTCTACATAGCAGTGTGTCTCTTCCCGCTCGCTTGCAATTGCTCGTCCGTCTTTATCCTTTCCTTCATCATCATCACCATCATCATGCTGCTTCGCTGGTTGAGGCTGTTTTTTTTTCATCTTGTCCACCTGCGCCGCTGCTTAACGGTTAGCGTTCTTCAGCTGGTTGGATAGCCAGTCGAGACCTTCGTATAAACCGTCTCCGCTTGTTGCACAGGTCGCCTGAATGTACCAGTTGCGGTTTCTCAGCGAGTGCAGTCCCAGCTTGTCGGTGATTTCTGCGGCGTTCATCGCGTTTGGTAGATCCTACGGAAAGGGAGACAGAAGAGGAATGGTATGTTAGGAATGATTCACGCAAAACAGAGGAAATTTTACATTATCTCACAGCGACTAAGTGTAAACGTAGTAGGGTTTTAAGGGGTCGATGGAGTATTTATCTGTATGTTAATATTATGGCAGCGCTTTTTTAAAACATCTTACGCTTACAGGGTGTCCATTCAAATACAATTTCAAGAGCTATATGCGAAAAGGGCATACAAGCTTTTTGTAAACAAACCTTTGTATCGCCTTTTCTCGCCAGCCGACGGCCGCCCACGCAAACCAACAACATCATCGGGAAGAGGAAAAAGGACATAAGAAGGCTTTACAAAAAGCTTGTATGCCCTTTTCAGGTAGGATTGCTAATGACATGGCCACGCCACGTTCATGATAAGTCGAAAGGGCTTCAAGGAACATCTTACAAATCTCAAAAGACTGACTAGTAGACTCCCTTTAAACGAAGACAACAAATCAAGAAGACTGGCAACTCTTCCATTTTCTCATACGAACGCTATGAGACAGGTACAATCGCATCATCTGCCGCTCAAAGGTAAATGCTTCGAACGAATTTGATAGCAAAGATTACATCCTCAGAAGAAGGGTTTGTGTTTTTGCTCATTTTTCTATGCGTTGCTTCCACCTTCACTCAAGCTCAGCGCTATTGTATCTGTCGCTTGGATTCTGGCAAAGTTGCCAGTCTTCTTGATACGATGTCTTCGCTTTAAATCTAATACATGGCCGGTCCAAAGTTCAATTTCGAGTCCGGGACAATGAACTCATCGATATCGTCAGTTTTCACAGTTATCGAAAGTGCCACTCCAGTTGATGAGATATTCACTTCGGGTAAGTTCAATCTGCCAGGCCTTTCGTGGAGTCCATCTGATAGCGGATTCCTGTATCCAGATCCTGATAGCTCTACATTTCACGCAGGAGCTATTAGCCTTCTCGACAACTACACTAAGAATCTCATGTCCTATGGATTTCCTATCTACATAGGACTGTTATGCGAATAGCGGCAGAACAGCGCAGCAACGCTTTCTCAAATTAACCATGTAGTTAACGAAAATGATCGTAGTTTGGACCTCTGCTTCGTGAGCACTCAGGACAGGGCTCGATTTCCTCGACTCCTTGTGCACTAACTAAGCTATTTCCACATCACCCTCGTCTAATTGTCACTGTTGAGGACAAACTCGTGCGTGATTTCGACGATTATCCTGCTATGGTTTCTTATGACTTCCAGCAACGCAGGGAATCCGGCCTTCCATCGTCTATGAAATTCAACGGCCGCCTTTTTTCCGACAAGTTTGCCAGTGTATTCACTAATGAGCTACTAACTGACGACCATATTAACCTGGCTGCCAGGAACGTTCAAGTAAATGATCAAACGCTGGGTGCAATTGATGTTAATGCCGCGACTCTGCCCAAGTCATCATTCAATCCTGGAACTGATCGAGTTCCATCTGTATTATTGAAGAGACATATTGCGTTCGTTAATCCCGCTTCATCGCCTGTTCCGCATGTCTCTCTCCAGTGGCATATTTCCATCCTGCTGGAAATTTGCGCACATGTTTCCCATCCACAAAAAAAAATTGGTGGGTTTGTGTACAAGACACGACTGCATGGTTGACGTAGACTACGTTGAGATGTTTAGTGAACTTCTCGTGCATTTTCCTTGATATTGATTTAAAATACAGTAGAAGTAACTTATTTCTTCAATTTACTTCATTTCCCCTCCTTGGAATGTCAATTTCCTCACGCTTATTAGTTATTTTTCTGACTTTTTCTGGACTTTCCGTTAGGGATATTTCCGCATTTGAAACACTTGTCTATAATCCTCCGTTATAAAATATATTCCCCGTGCACACTTCAATGCCCATCCCATCTCCGTTGAACATAACATAACACGTGGCAAGGCAGTTCAGGGCAGGGCCACTGCAGCAGTGAGGTGATGCTGAGCTAGTGGGTGGTCGTTGATTGTTGAAGGGTAGCGGTGGGAGATTTGGGACCAGGCGACGAGGCTGGATTGCCGGGTATTGTTCATCCGTGATGGCTGGTAGTGTACGTTTATTTCGATGCCGGCCTGGCTGGTTGCTAGTAGCCACCTTCTTCCTTTTGTTGATGTATTTCGTTCGCTTGGGGCAGTCCCGACTAGTGGCACGGTGAGTACCACCTCAATTCACGCACTTCGGTTCGGTATCATCAGCTTGAGCACAGGTAGCCATCGAGCGGGCCATAGCACACTTGTCACAGCGTGGTTTCATATGACAGTTCTTCGTGCCATGGCCCAAGGAGAGGCAACTTGTGCATTGGGTCACATCACGGTGTTATGGTTTGTAGGATTCCTAGTAGATAATGACCTGAAACAGGTCACGTATGTTGCTCTTCAGCGCAGCAATGGTGGTGGAGCCCTTCGTGAAGTGGACCAGAAACAGTTGGTCAAGGTAGTTAGTATTGGGCATAGGCCGTCGATTCATTGGGTGGAGTGCCTCTGGTTTTAATCTGAGCCTCACCAGTTCATCTTTTACGGCAGCCGCTTCGTATGACGGCAGTCCCCGTAAAACAACCTTCAAGACTTGATCAACTGACTCGAATTGAAAAAAAGTTGAACCAGGCTAAACTCTTCAAGCCAATTGAATTCAACGGAGGTGATCGATGACTTGTCTTATCTAAACCCAGCTTTAGGAGAAGATGATGATTTCTTCTCTTTTATCTTACTTCTTACTTCTTCCTACCATTGAGCATGAGCATGAGCATGAGCATGAGCATGAGCATGATTGACCGCCCACGGTTGCTACTCTGTTATTGCCAGACCAGCTGTAATTACACAGAGAACCAATAGACGATGCTTGGGACTAGCAATCATCCTCAATGTGTAAAAACTGGTGATCTTAAATTAGGCAATACCAGCGCCGGCCGCGCCCGAACACAGGTCAAGAAAGGAATGGGAAGGATTGTGTTGACATAACACTCGCTTTGATGGAAGCCGAGAACACCTCTGCACTTCCACGAGGAATCACTGGGATGTTGGATAAGAGGGTTGGGTTTGCAGCAGGGTTCGTTTTGGTAAACGATAAGCTGAATTGATGTCCTAACGATCATATAACGCGAAGGAGCTTGGGACTAAACCCACGGTCTTCTGCTCAGTAAGCAAAAACGTTTGCCACTAGGCAGACGAGCACCTTTTTAATCACCGAGTTGCTGTTATTACCATGTAGTCATATTAACAAAACGATTGACGAATCTTGAATGTGGATGGGCCTGAGATTAGACTCATGATGTTCTGCTCAGTAAGCAAAAACGGTTGCTCTAAGGCCACCGAGCCCCTCATATCACATAATACCGTTGCTCAAATTTGTGTATCCATTCAAACCCGGAACCAACGACAACAACGAGTTTCGCAAAATACACGATACACAAGCGATTTTACCATAAATCTCTTTGATATGTAAGGACCTGGGACCGCGTTATTCTGCTCAGTAAGCAGACCACTGTAACCGACGATCTTTCAAAACCGAAAACTAAAAACTACGAAAAAGTACTTAGGCCTTCATCAAGTTCCACTTTCACGCGACGTTCAATGACAGGGTCCTATCCAGGATTACATCTGAAAAATCCAAATCTGGCCAACGCCCACCTAAACCTATTCTAATCCACCTGAAATGACTAACGAATGGAAGACTTTGACTACCCAGCCATGCAATAGTCTCATTCCGTGCCTTATGGCAACTTGATGATTCTATTGCGCTCATCTTTTGGCACCACCCAGGGGAGACTTGGTCCTGTACCCAATGCTTAACTTATCTCCATTCCACTCAGCTACTCGCAATTTCTTGTGATATAGTGGGCGGAATATTATTATATGAGACAATTCAATGCAGACGTCTTTCCAAATTTGGCAGATCGACAGGTAATCGGTGAGTTACCACGATAGTTGCTATTCAACAACTCGACAACGTCCCATCGTCAACGCCTGCTATGAGAATTTCCCATTGCAGACGCCAACGAAATGACGTCATCGAGCTATCGATCAACTACCCTGGTTATCGCCTGGTACCTTATAGCACGATGCTAGGAGGCGAACCGGAAGAATCGATGAGCTACCTCTCCCCCAACTTCTTACTTCTTCCTACCATTCTTGCATTTATTCAAATGCGCTACAATGCGCTCAAGGGATAGATTTTTGTTGGACACAGCTGAGTTGAGCAGACGCAGCAATCTACTCTAAGGTTAAATTTTGTCAAACGCAATTAGGTGTAACATATATAAGACGCACATACCCATTAACATGTTAAATTTTGCAACAACTAACAGCGTCTAGCGTCTACGGAAATGATTTTTTTTTATCTCAGTTCAACTCAGGAATGTGACAACACGTAGTGGGAGTAGAATTTATAATACGCTCAAAATCATCGAAATGCCCTTTTATTTAAGTCACTTTTACTCAATTTGCTAAAATGCAACATCAAGCATTGAACAACCACAAGTTCAACACTATTTAAAATTTGAAATGAAAAACCACCCTCAAACTACACCGAGTAATTAAATTGTTTGAAACTAGCAAAGTCAGTCATAAGTTTCTGTTATAAAAAAATATTTCCCTGAATTTGAATTAAATTCCCTGAGATCCCCTGATTATCCAGGTCCAACAATGAATTCCATGATTTTTCAGGTTTTCCATGTAGTCGACACCCTGTAACTACTACAGAAATGTGTCATCGGGAGATCGTGAACAAATAAATTTATTTTCAGAGTTGGTTGGAAATGCTATTCAACATTAAGCTTTTGTGTGATAATTTATTAGCTTTGTAGGCATCATCCACCTCTGCAGATATTATTGAAATTGAGCCAGGCATTTCCTTTTCGTAACACTATGGATAGCATTTCGTATGACTAAAGGGTGTCCACGATGAAATTGCCACACTATGAAATTGCTCTAACTTTTTAACCGTTGGGTAGAATTTAATGAAAATTTGGGTGGATTTAGTTCA